TCAGGTGTGGACACAGCAGATAAACCTGGTCTCAGTGTCTCAGGTGTTCTACCTGAACTTGTGGGTGGGAGTGCTCTCTTATTCCGAAGGTTCTGAGTTCCGCGGGCCAGCTGAAGGCCGTATGAGAACTGAGGGGGGTCGTTCCAGCCCCGCTCCTGGTTACCTTAGAAACAAGAACAACTTTGGTAAAAAGAGACAGATTTAAATCTCCTGAAATTAATTCACAGCAAATAATACAACTGTATTAAAAAAATCTGTAATGAAACTGGTACAGGGGCTAAACATAGAATTACTGGATGTAATTCTGTAGAATAAAATGTAATTGTGGTTATAGATAAGCAGTCCCTTTAAATCAGTTCATTTAATAAATAACCATAAACTGCTGCTGAATCAGTAGCTTTCACAATAAAAGACCTCAGAGCTTTCACAATACTGTTCTAGTTAGCTTTTAAACCTTTAAAGATTAGTAGTAAGCAAAGCCCTTCTATGCCGAATTATTACAAGACATTTGTCTGTTTTGTCTTCAAGATAAATAATTGATAAAGTGCGTTGTAAATGTCGGCGGGATGAGGGAACTTTAAATCTACAGATTCTTGAAGGAAGTCCGTTTCCCTGACTGTCCCGGAGCCAGGCCACGTTAGCAGCCAGTTCCACGGAGTAAAACCTTCCTTCAAAGTTTCATGAACACGTTGAAATGTTTTACAAAGGTGTTGCTGTCCGCCAAGGACTGCTGAGGACGGACCACTCACCGGGTTTAATGTACAAGTCATCCATGCTGGAGTCAGAGGCAGCTTCGAGGAAAGCTAACGGCTAGGCTAACCGGAAGTGCAAAGACGCTCCGGATGATGTAAACTTTACTTTATTTGTGATTAATCTAATAAATTATCTTTCAAACATGAGCACTAACCCTGGCATGTCGGTTCCAAGGAAATAAAACAATAATTAAAGTGAAAATAAAGCTAGAGTAAGAGAACTTCCGGATAAATTTTCAAACTAAAACGTTTTGTTCCATTCCATGTGTTTAACTGTTTTACAGCTTGAACTTTAAATCAAATATCACTTATATTTTTGTGAAGAATGACCTTTAGATTGAATAAATACTTCAAATAGACTATAACTGAACAGCCCACGCCACAGACAACACAATAAAAACAAAAGTTCACGTCGAAACGTTGAAGTCACGAGTTTTTTTCATTCGTTCAGACTTTATTTCTACAGGTTAGTCCCATTGAGCCTCGGTGAGACCTGAGACCTGTTTAACAACGACTGATGACAACAACAACAATACACAGTCATCAAAGATGCATACAATTTTTAGTTTTTACAAATTCAAATGAAATGGCAACGAAAAGGACAGTCAAACAGAAAAAAAACCAGATCGATTATAAGTTGATGTAGAAAACTAAAAACAGGAACATCTCTAGGAACTTATCAGATGTTTGAAGCCATTTAGAGAGGTCAAAGGTCGAGAGCTTCAGATGTTTTTACAAGATATTCCAGGAAACAGGAGCGGAGTAGGAGAAGGTCCTTTTGTCTAGTTCAGTCCTCACTGAGGGAACACTGCAGGTAATGATGTCCTGAGAGCGCACGCTGTAGCTGCACTCACACAGAGACATGTAGGAGGAGATGTATGAAGGCAGCAGACCAGGAAGTGATTTAAAGATGAAAATGTACCAGTGGGAGAGTCTGTGGGAAGTTAATGGTGACCAGTTAACCAGTGGATACTGGGTGCAGTGGTGGGTGCACACGAACTCCACAATTACTGTTTGTAAAATCAGCCAACATGATATTTAAAGTAAAATATCCATTATATGATATTTACTGAACAATTCTATTCTCACAGAGACTAATAAAAACAATGAAATTAATATATACATTTTGAAGATCAGCACCTCCTGGTCGGCTTGTGCGGCACGCAGGTAAACAACTGTGGTCGTTTACCTGGTCTGAGCGCACGGGTAGCTGGCCAGGCGCAGGGCCCCCACAACAACACAGGTCAGAGAGTCCATGGTCAGATCCAGAACAAGCCCTATAATCTTCCACAGAGTCTCAGCTTCACCAACATGCCGGCGCGCTTTCCTCGACGTCTGCAACTCTTCCTCTGGGAGAAGGTCCAGCATCACGAAGGAGGAAAGCAGGATCTCAGAAAGGACTGGTGGGAGAGTCCTGACCATTGCTGAAAAATTCTGTGGGCATCTCAGCAAACTACGGAGCTCCAAAAGTGCACGACGGTCATGCTGCAGATACGAGTCAACACACTGCACAACAATATGCACAGATAACAAAAATAACAAGAAAACAGAGAGCGACCAACAGAAAGCCCTACACCCTGGCGCCATCTTGGAAGACAACCACTTGACTGATGACCGATGGATGCTTGAAGCGCGTTGAGGGGCGCTGTTTATAGGACACATCTTGGTGGCAGGCCTCAGACTGACGAAGTCTTTCTGATTAAAGACGAAACGTTTCAACCAGAAGAATCTGTCCAGAGGACCTGATGTAACGATTTGGTTCAGTTTTCAGACTCCGAGTTTAAATAAATACGTAATTTATTGAAACATGTTTTAGTTTTATATGCACATTTGACAAATATTTTTTATTTATTTGAGGCCATAGGACCTAACACAAACAGATCTGTAACTATGGAACTTCAGTTCTTAATAAACTCTGATGGAACTTTTATTTTGGCAGAACAAATGTTTCTACATCCTGTTAGAGGGCTAACTTGTTCTGCAACCATTTCTCAGAAAAATTAAATCCTGACACGTCAGCGCGTCCGCCATATTGGATGTGGCAGGTCTGCCGGTCAACTGGCAAGGACTGAAGTTCATAAAGCACCGTTCCACAAAGAGTTTTATGTTAATCCCTGTCATTCACACACTCATATATCTGGAAAACAAACAGACACCAAATACAACATTTATAACTTTTAACATGATTATTAAAAATGTTTACTTGATTTGATTTGAAGATGTGAAGCTCTCGACCTTTGACCTCTCTAAGTGGCTTTAAGAATCTGTTGGACTCCTGGCAGGGACCAATGCAGACATGTTCCTGTTTTTAGTTTTTACATTTGCCTTAGAATCTAGCTGTTTTTTTTTTGTTGTTACCTTTTCCTTTTAGCCATCCTATTTGTAAAAAAAACAAACAAAAAAAACCTGCAGTATGACTTTTTATAACTGTTTATTGTTGTTGCTGTTGTCCATTGTTGTCATCTTTCTTTGTTGAAATCAGGTCTCTCTTGTAAAAGAGTCCTCGAGGCTCAATGGGATTTACCTGTAGAAATAAAGGTTGATTGATTGATTGATTGATTACTCCTTAAATATGTAGGTTAAAGGTAAACACTAAACCAACAGATGTATTCTTTTAATGTTTACCATACTGATGTGTGTAACACTGTTACTGTGGTGATAAATATAGAAATAATCATATTTAATATTTAATCTAGATTTAGATTAACCAGATCCCAAAGAACACTAACATTCACATTTAACTGATTTTAGTTAATCACATTGATTAACATGTTTACTTTCATTCATTCAATTCCTTCAACATTTATTTCTACAGGTAAATCCCATTGAGCCTTGAGGACTCATTTACAAGAGAGACCTGATTTAACAAAGAAAGATGACAACAATGGACAACAGCAACAACAATAAACAATTATAAAAAGTCATAAAGATTTTTTATTTTTTTTAACAAACAGGATGGCTAAAAAAAATAAATAAATAAAGTAAAAAGAAAACAAAAGTAACAAAAAAACAGCTAGATTCTAAGGTGAATGTAGAAAACTAAAAACAGGAACATGTCTGCATTGGACCCTGCCAGGAGTTCAACAGATTCTTAAAGACACTTAGAGAGGTCAAAGGTCGAGAGCTTCAGATGTTTTTACAAGATATTCCAGGAAACAGGAGCGGAGTAGGAGAAGGTCCTTTTGTCTAGTTCAGTCCTCACTGAGGGAACACTGCAGGTAATGATGTCCTGAGAGCGCACGCTGTAGCTGCACTCACACAGAGACCTGATCCTTTATCATTATCATCCTATTACATAATCCTTTATCGCGGGGGGATCCGTACCTTGCCCCCAGCCCCACGCTAAGTAAAAAAACCGCAAAGTAGGAACAGTAGTACAAGTAGTAAGTAAATGGAATGGACTGTACTTATACAGCGCCTTTCTATCTTATCGAGATACTCAAAGCTCTTTACAACAATCTGTGCCTAACTTACCCATTCATACAGCTCTATACTAGATCTCTACAAAGCTAATTGAAGAAATCATTCTAATGAGACTAATCAGTGCTTTAGATCACATTCATGCACTGATGGGACACACATCAGAGGAAACGAGGGGTTCAGTGTCTTGCTCATGGACAATTGGACATGTGACAGTTGGTGGATTTGAACCACCAACTCTTGCACTGGAGGACGACTGCTCTAACTACTCAGTCACAGCCGGCCAGTAGTAGTTTATTTTTTTTTATATATACATATATATATATATATATATATATGTATATATATATATATATACATACTTAAATATATATATATATATATATGTATATATATGCAATCTGTGTGTATATGTGCATATGTGTAATTGGGCTCTGGATTCTGGTCTGTTGAAATTTTTCCATTTGATTTTGTTTTCATGAAAAACAACAGAATGATCTGAACCTGAGCACTTTTCTGTTTCACAGAGGAGAGGGGGGACGGGGAGTGACGATGTCATCAGGAGGAGGGGCAGTGATGATGTCATCAGAAGGAGGAGAGCATCCTTCATCACACGGGGAGGCACAAGAGGAGAGGACACGGAGCAGAGATAAAACAAAGGTGGAGAAGACTGAAGGTGTCTGAGAGGAGGACGGACAGTCAGACAGGCAGACATACAAACAGGCAGACAGGCAGACAGACAGACTGTTGGAGGCATTAGAGTCCGTCCTCTGGGCCTGGTACCAGATCAGCTGAGAGGAGGGAGGAGCCATGATGGGCAAAGATTACATGTTGGCCATCATCATCGTGAACTATGACGGTGAGACACACACGCACACACGCACACACACTTCTGGTTCTCTGCTCAAAGATCTCTGGAGCACAGTCACAGCAGGGATCACATCACAGGCCAGAGCTTCAGCACTGCTCACTTTGTGCGTCAACTCCTCAAAAACGGAGCTAGTCCGCCTATAATCTTTCCCACCAGAACCCACTTGTGAGCGGTGAGGTTGTGTGGAAGTCCATTTTCAGATCCCAATATTCCCAGAGCCCGCTTTTGTTCAAGCAGAGACTGGAGTTTGTAAAAGTTGCTGGTTCAGCCAGTCTGCACATCCTGCTGGAGTCTTCTTGTGGACTGGTTGAGCTGCAGCTGATTATCTTCCAGGCTAAGCTAAGCTAAGGTGGAGTGTTTAAAATGTCCAACAGTTTGACAGAAATGTCTGGACTTCCAATTTCTTCAGACTGAAGACGTTTGAGGAACCTCGTTCCTGACTCACGGGGTTGTGGTCGGCAGCATCTCGGCTGCAGTCTCATAAAAACAAATGGACCCGATACGAATCTGATTAAAAGTTGGGACCTTCTTCAAAGCCAAGATGGCCATGCTTTCAGGAGCTGCAGCTTCACAGGCTCCCCGTGCGATCCCAGTTTTTAGGAGTTTTGAAATTAACTCTGAGCCTGACTCTGCACACTTTATCATGTGAATCGTAGCCGAACCGAACTGATGAGAATAGGAGCGGATTTATCACAGAATACAGCAGCGATCTGCAACGATCTCAAATCAGCGCTCAGCAGAATGCAGATCCTAAAGTCATCTACCTGGAAGCTTCAGCAGGAACACTCAAACGGGAAGACGAAGTGCTGCTCCTGGCTTAAGAATCAAGGGTGCTGGACTGGGGTGCAAGTAAGGCTAAAAGCTAACACTAAGGCTGGCAAACTACTGATTCCCTCTCTCTTTCTGTCGTGCGTCGGCTCTTTGGACAACAAAATGGATTTGCTTCGTCTGAGAGAGGGTGCCTCAAAGGAGATGAGGAAGTGTGCAATGCTTTGTCTCACTGAATCATGGCTTAACAGCAACATGCCAGACTCAGCCTTCCAGCTGGACAAGACTTTTTTTTGAGTGGGCCGCTGCAGCGAACAAACGGAGAAATCACTGGGAGGTGGAGTATTCATTTACGTGAGTAAAAGTTGGTTCACAAACAGTTCTCTGATAAACAGCTTTTGCTCCAATGCTTTGGAGCAGCTAACAGTGAAATGTCAACCACATTATCTACCCCACGAGTTCCCAGCGGTGTTCATAACAGCTGTTTACATACGTAGCTCCGGATGCTAATGCTACAGACGCTCTGCAGGAGCTGCATGATCATTTTAACTTGATGTGAAACAAACACCCTGAGCCTCTTTACGTGGTGGCTGGTGGCTTTAATCCTGTAAGTCTGAAGGACTGCCTCCCAAGATTTTGTCAGCATGTTGCCATGCCAACACATGGAAACAACACACTGGACTGTGTTTACACAAACATATGAGATGCATACAAAGCTGCACCCTGCCCCCACCTAGGACTCTGATCAGATCTCCATCTTCCTGGCCCCTGCTCACTTCCCCCTGCTGAAACGCTCCAGTCCGAAACAAAAAAGTTAAATGTTGGGCATACTGAAAGACTGTTTTTGCATGCACAGACTGGCAGGTCTTCAGAGAATTAGCTGAAAATGAGAAGGAGCTAGACCTGGAGGAATACATGACCTCAGTCCTGGGGTACATTAGTAAATGTGCTGATGACGTCACCACCATCAGTTATGTTAAGAGTTACCTGAACAAGTCAAGTCAAGTCAACTTTATTTATAGAGCACATTTAAAACAGAACATGTTATCAAAGTGCTTAACAACAAAAACAACAACAATCAATGAGAGTAAAATTAAAGAGAAAAAAAAATATATACATACAATACACTAATAATAATAACTGAAGAATTAATAAAAAGCATTTAAAACATAGGGTCACAGATTAAAAAAACACTAGATTAATTTACACTGTGTGAAATGTCTGCGAGAACAGATGTGTTTTTAGCAGAGATTTGAAGTGAGGAAGGGAGGTGGCCTGCCTGATGTTGGGGGGCAGGTTGTTCCAGAGTTTGGGGCCCATGACTGAAAAAGCCCGATCTCCTCTGAGCTTCAGTCTTGTTTTTGGAACAGCCAAAAGCAGCCAAAAGAACAGGAAATCTTAGCTGAATGCAGAGGTTTGCAAACTGCTGGAAGCCAGGTCTGGAAACTCACAGGAGCTGAGAAGAACAAGGAAATAGCTGGTTGCTGGTATCAAGAGGGCCAAGGCCGCATACTGTATACACAGAGGATCCAGGGTCAATTCACCTCACAAGACCCACGAAGCATGTGGAGAGGCATTAAGTGTATAACAGGTTATAAAGGCAGAAGTGAACATTGCCCCAAAGACCCGTCACTGCCTGATGCCCTCAAGAGGTTCTACGCATGCTTCGAGAACCCGAACAGACCACCCAGCACTAGACTCATCTCATTACCAGAATAGGAGTTCCTCAGCGTGACCTCAGCCAAAGTGAGGAGAACTTTCAAGAGGATTAATCCTCACAAAGCAACTGGCCCAGACAACATCCCTGAGAAGGTGCTGAAAGAATGTGCCAATCAGCTCTGCGAGGTGCTGGCCGACATCTTTAACTCCTCATTCACCCTGGCAACAGTTCCCACTTGCCTAAAGACTGCCACCATCATCCCAGTCCCAAAGATCGCTACAGTGACTGGTCTGAATGACTATCAGCCAGTAGTCTTTACCCCGATAGTCGCTAAATGCTTCAAAACACTGGTCATAACCGACATCAAAACAAACATCAACATCAACGAAGACCCTCACCAGTACACATACCGTGAGAATCGATCAACGTAAGATGTCATCTCCTCTGTGGTCCACACTGCTCTCACCCACCTGTTTCAGAAGGACTCCTACGTCCATATGTTCAGCCTCAGCCTTGTTTCCTTGACTCCTCGCCTTGTCCCTCTCTGGATTTGTCTGCCTCATCTGACCACGTTATTGACCCTTTTCTTCTCCTCCTTCGACTACGACTTCGGATCTCGTCTTTGTTCCGGTACCAGCTCTCTGATCGCCTGTTAATGGCCCCTGCTAAGTTTTCTGGACCCTGCTTCTGGACTCACCCTCCACGGACCACATGCAGCTCCTTGTTCTGTTGGCCTGCTGCAGCTCTCACTGCTACAGTGACGTCACCAAGTTCAGCGCTACTCCTGTTCTTGCCACGCCACAGACTGAGAAGGTTAGTGACTAATTCACAGCGAGTCTCAAAACTCCTCACCCGCTTCATAGTCACTAACCTGTCTCTCTCTCCAGACTGGACCTCCACCTGGACGCAGACCTCCACCAGAAGCTGCTTTAAAAATAAATCTTTTAAAACCATTCCTGAGTCTGGTGTTGTGCAGATCCAAACAGAACCTTGTCACTGAGACTGTTAGACTCATGAATCTCTAACCAGAATAATCACTGTGAAAAATCACATCATGCTGCTGCTGATCTGTTTCATGCTGCTGCTGATCTGTTTCATGCTGCTGCTGATCTGTTTCATGCTGCTGCTGATCTGTTTCATGCTGCTGTGTTCATTCATACTCATCTGCTCACAGAGACTTATGTTTGTGCTGCTGTTTGGCGTATTGTGTTTATTATTTTTATGCTATTTTTTGCTTAGTGTATTTTAATTAACGTTTTTCCTGAGTTCATATCTTAGATCTTATGATTGTTTTTCTTTTACATGTCATATTTTTGGTGGATGTAACTGGGACTCTGTGTACACAATTTCATTCCACCACATGTACCACATGTTATGCGAATGACAATAAAGCACCTTGAATCCTTGAATTCTTGAAAGTAACCTTGATGATCACTGGCTGCAGAGAGCCGTACGGAACCCACCAGGAACTTGGACCTGGACTACTTCCAGCCCCAGCGGTCAGCGATCAATCTGAGCACTGCTCGCTGGCTCAGGAGGGTTTTTGGGGGAGATGTTGTTCGGAGGTCCGGTGTCTTCCCCAGAGCAGATTCCTCTGGATTATTTGGACTCGTTCGGGACCATTGTGTGGTTCTTTGCTGGTACTCTGAAGGTCAGACCCTCTTCAAAAAGTTTGGAAACACCTCACTACTTCCAGCCTTAGCAATGTCTTGAGCACAACTCACCAGCACAGGAAGTCTCTCAGGCACGGAGATGCTGTTCCGAGAGCTTATTTCGATTTTCATCTGCATTTCTCTCTTTATTATTTTTTTCCTGACTTTTGTGGCTTTCTACGAGTCAGTGGAAACAAGGACCCCCCCCCCCCCCCCCCCCCCGGGCGCTACTGATCTATGAGTAAGGTATTGTGGCGGTTGTCACTGTTTTTTTTTTTTTAATTAATTCATTAATTTTTCTCTTTTGAGCTGTTTTATTGTTTGTCCCCCCCCTCCCCCCCGAGTCCCTGGGGTAAACACAATGATGTCAGTTTTCTGATCAATTAAACTTAAAAATCTTGAAGCCATCCATGCCTTGATGTCATTAAGACATTTTAACAGAGGATGACTGGAGCAATAATTATTAGGTTTTAGGGGCAGATAAATCTGACATCATCAGCATAGCGCTCTGTAGGGGCGCTGGCAGACACTGTGAGTCTTGTCTCCAGACTACAGGACTTTTGTTGATGATGTCTCTGCAGACAACATCTGGACTGACCAGAACCTCCTCCTGGATCCAGACCTACCATCTGGCTGGAGAACCATCAATGACTCAACAGGAACATACTACTGGCACGTTCCCACCGGCGCCACCCAGTGGCAGCACCCTCGCCTTATGGGGACACCACAGCCTCTTGAAATGCAGGTGAGAACAAAAGTGACTGGTTTACTTTTAAAAAGTCAGTCCAGTTTAAACCGCTAGAGAGGCTAGAGTCCTGCATTCATATGTACCTCCACATCTTAAAGGGCACATCTCACCCTGGACATGAGCTGTTTAAACTCTTACCATCAGGAAAAAGGTACAGATCAATCAAGACAAGAACAAACATATTTAAAAATAGTTTTAGCAATCAGCTGTTACAGAACTTAACAAAAGCTGTAATAAGAACTGAGTAATGTTTTTAATGTTCCTGTTTTTAGTTTTCTACATCGCCTTACAACCTATCTGTAACTATTGCCTTTATACAGTATTTAGTTACGTTCAGGGAAGTAAACCTAAAGTTTTCTTGTACTTGGTGCAATGACAATAAAGGTCTATTCTATTCTATTCTATTCTATTCTATTCTATTCTATTCTATTCTATTCTATTCTATCTCAGTATTAATCATTTACTATTAAGTGAGTCATGGTCCGGGCTGGTCCACAAAGGTGATCAGGTCTTTAACTGTCCTTGCTAAATGAAAAATGGTCATTGATTTGAGACACTTCTTCTTCTGTGGTGTTTCAGCAGGAAGACGTGGCAGAGGAGAGTCCTGAAGCAGAGACAAACGGAGCTGAGGAGAACAGGTGTCTTAGACAAAACCAATGTTCTACAGGAAGTTCTTATAAAATATTTCAGAAACGTTCACCTCCTTCACAGCAGAACTTAGATTCAAACCAACTTCTAACACAAACTTGATTATCCTGAATCTCACAGAATATTTAGAGTCAACCATAATATTAAGGACATTGTTGATCATCATAACAGTTCTGATCCATCTCTTCATGGACTACATTAGATCATTTCAGGTCATCTGTGATCTACTGTGGGTTTCTGAAAGTATCTATGACCCCGTAAATATCTGCTATAGGCATCTAAATGCCCCAATGTGTCACGTGAATGTGTCATGTGGACTTCTGAAGGTCTAATGTGGACCTCTGAGGGTGTCATGTGGACCTGTGAGGGTGTCACATGGACCTCTGGAGTTGTCATGTGGACCTCTGAAGTTGT